CTTGAACATTTAACAATTTAAAGAGTAAACAACAAAAAGTAAAGACTAAATAGAAAAAATTAAATAGTGGAAACTTCTAACAATGCATAAATAATCCCAATTAGACTTGACAATCGGGTCAACGGGTTGACCCATGACCCAACCCAACCCAACCCAGTTTTTTTTTAGTCGGGTCGGGTCTGTCATTTTCACATTTGGGTTACTAAATATGAGACCCAAACCCTATTTTTTTCAGGTTGGGTTGGGTCGGGGTTCACGGGTTGGGTCAACTTTTTGCTAGGTCTAGACAGAACAAAAGCTCCAAGCCCAGATGGTTTTACAATGGCCTTCTATCAAGACTGTTGGGATATCATGAAAGGTGACCTTTTGCTAGTGTTTGAGGAATTTTATGGAAGAGGTGTGGTCAACCCGGGTCTGAACTCCACTTTTTTAGCATTGGTCCCGAAGAAGAAAGATGTTTTCCACCCTAAGGACTTTAAGCAAGTTGGTTTGATAAATAGCTTGTATAAGATCCTTGCAAAGGTTGTCTCTGAGGTTGAAGGAAGTATTGCCAACAATAATCTCTCCAAATCAAGGAGCTTTTGTAAGTGGGAGACAAATTACTGATCAAATGTCCAATCTAAAGGTGAATTTTGAGAAAAGTTGTGTTGTGGGTGTGAATTTGGAGGAGGGTGAGATCAGGGAAAGTGCAGAAATATAGGGTTGTGAAGTCTCAGGTTGGCCATTGAATTACCTAGGGATGCCTTTGGGTGATAACCCAAAGGAGAGTTTCTAGAATCCAGTGGTGGAAAGATTCAAAAAGAGACTTGCCTCTTGAAAGAAGAATTATCTTTCTCTTGGCAGGAGGATTACACTGATTAAGGCTACTCTAGATAACTTACCCATTTATTTCCTTTCAGTGTTCAAAATTCTTGCCAAGGTATCTAATAAATTGGAGATGATGATGAGAGATTTCCTATGGGAGCCGGGAGAGGATAAAAGGGGCCATAGGGTGAGTTGGGAGGTGGTGACCAGAAGTAAAAATCTAGGTGGCTTGGGGCTTGGGAGCATCAGGAAAAGGAATATGGCTCTTATGGGGAAATGGCTATGGAGACCAGTGTTTTAAAAGCGCAAGGCGCAAAAAAGGCACAAGGGCCATTTTGTGCCTAAGGCGCAAGGTGCCAGGCAAGGTGCTCGCCTTTTTGAGGCAAGGTGCACAATTTAAAAAAATGCAAAAAAATTCAAAAAAATGCAAAAAATTCGAAAAAAATCAAAAAATTATAAAACATAATATTAATAAAAATATTAACTTAAGTTTTGAAATAAATGTTTTAAAAAACCTATTATCTAAAATTAAAATACATAAATATAATATGTAAAGCATATTCAAATGAGAATTTAAAAATGAAATCAAACATATAAAACATTTTCAAGCATATAAAACCCACAATCTCTTTTTTTTCTCAATTGCATCAAGTAGCTAATGTGATATATTGCATTCCTAATTCTACGAGCCGCCTTTGTGCCACGCCCCTCGAGGCAAACCCAAACAATCCATACTAGGGTCTTAAATTCTTAGATTTCACACAAAAAATAATAATTTTATAGTTTAAATTGCTTTTAAGATGATATTTTATTAAGATGAATGAATGGACAACATTACCAAATAGGGGGTTCTTGAAGCTCCAGTATCCCTTTTTGGGTGTAGATGGAATCCTCCATCAAATTTGCAAAGCCTTTTTTCCCCTTCCTTCTTCAGATGCCGAATGAAAAGGGGAAGGACCATGTGGAGATGTTTGAGGGCTGCAGTATGTTGGGCCTTATGGGAGGAAAGGAATTCCAGAATCTTCTCTGAAGTAGAAAGAAGCATTGAAGAACTGAGAGAACTGATCCATATAAGGGTAGTACAGTGGCTGAAATATTCAGAGCTGTTTACAGACTTCACAATGGATGATTTGTTGAGGAGTGGGGTGAAATTGCTAACTGCACCCAGACCAAAGCAGTCTTGTGTGTGTCTTGGACTCCCCCACTGGCCGGCTTTTTAAAACTAAGCTTTGATGACAGTAGTCGGGGGAATCCTGGACAATCGGGGATTGGCGGTGTGTTTAGGGATGAGAATGGGTTTGTTTCAGCCATGTTCTCTGGCCCAATTGGAGTGGGTGACTCTCTCAGGGCTGAGATCTTTGCAGTTTTGGAAGGAGTTCAAAGAGCTAAGGAGATGAATATAAGAAAACTCATCATTGAAGGGGACTTGGAGGTGGTGGTAGGGTGGCTGAATAAAGAAAATAGCAGATTATGGATGTACAGTAATGAGAGGAGGAAATTTAGGTGGCTGGTCCAAGAGATGGAAGTGAAGATCAGCTGGGTGAAAAGATTAGCTAACTCTTTTGCTGATGGGTTTAGCTAATCAAGGAGTCGACAGGAAGTCAATGTTTTGGGCACAAGTGTAATTTTTCCTTTTTGTTCTTGGGAGTTTAAGCTCCAGTTGGAAGATAAGAAAGTTTTTCTTCCTCACTGTGACTGCTTTTGTGATTAAGTAATGAAATGTTGTTATTGATGTAAAAAAAAATAGTTGTCAAGGTCTCACCTAGTCAATAAGGCCTTTGGGTGGTATCTTGCCTGAATACAATGAGTTATTACTAGGGCCATATATGGGTATGGCTTGAATCAAATCCAGTCACATGAGTCCAATCTGATTATTAGAAACCCAATCAAGTAGAAATAGCTTGAAGCAATTATGTGGGATATCAGATCACAGTTCAAATCTTGATAGCTAATGAATTATGTATAGGAATTGAAAAGAACAGGAAGGAAATAATGGGTGTGAATTATATTTAGAGAAGAAGGCCTATGATTATGTGAACTGGTCATTTCTTTCTCTTGTCCTTGGGCATTTAGAGGGTGCTTGCAGTCTTCTCATTGAAATACTTATTCCCTACTTAAAAAGGCCCTAGACAAGGAGATCCATTGTTTCTCTTTTTGTTCATTTTAGTTACAGATGTCTTAAGTTGGTTGATTACTAGGGCAGATAACTTGGGCCTAGTTAGTGGTTCAAGAATGGGTAGAGAGCAGGTGATACTGACCCATTTGCAGTTTGTGAACAACATAATCATTTTTTGTCAAGATAAAGGTGAAGATGGGACGAGGAATCTAAACTCCTCTTAGGATGCTTTGACATATGTCAGACCTTAAAGTTATTTTGGGGAGAAGTTGCATTTTAGAAAACTTTGGCTATTGGGACCAATCTTTTTTTTATCATTCTGTTGGGATGGTTCTTGGGCATGACATGTCAACCAATTCAGTCCCCTACATGTCTTTTTGGTTAAATGAATACCAAGTGTAATTACTCTTTTACCCCCATAGGCCCCACACCCATGGTAACATGTCATGCCCAAGGACATTTCCAACAGCCAAAGTTTTTCCATTATTAGAAGGTATGTTGAAATTCTAGGATGCTTGGTGGTGGATTGGCTGATTAAATATTTGGCACTTCCCTTAGGTGGTAATCCCAAGGCTTTAGTGGAGTTCTCTATTTTGGAATTTGGGTAAGTTATCTAAGAAGTTGGTGGCATAGAAGAAGAACTACCTCATTTAAGTTCACTTTTCTAATCTACTCATTTACTAGCTTTAAAGTTTCAATTTTCTATTTAACTTCCTAAGAAAGTAAAAAAAAATCATTTAGGGATTTGATCAATTGGCAGACAACATGCAAAAGTAGAGATGAAGGGGGGTTATTGCTTGGTTAGAGTAGGGCCATCCATAGAACCTAAACTTCTTTTTTGAGGCATCTCTCCTGTATTGATAATCTTCAAAGCAACTTCTTGACGAAAAGCTCTGATTTTGGGCAGAGTAGGGTCATTTGTATAACCTTAACTAAGGCTGGCACTACAATAAGATTCATTTAGAGCTTTTTAAAAGAGATGAGCAAGAAATATCTCCTTTAGTATTAACTCTGGTTGTTTCTTGAGTACCCAATTCAGAAGTTTCAAGCTATTTCTTTAGTTATCTATAGAGTTATTTTAGGATACAGCATTTTCATAATGTTACAGTATAGCCAAGAGTCGTTAGTCTGTATCTGCAAAGCATGGGGTTGCTGATAAATGCAAGATGAAATTAGGAAATGTAGTTCTGTTAAATTGAATTAGTAGGTCTTTAACTATCTTGATTTATTTAAAGTTGTGATCAAATAAATTCTATTCCAGTTGTGTAGATTGCTACTGTTGTCATGGTACCCAACAAGAGTTTCTCTCAATCTAAATTGTGTTGGTTGATAAACTCAGGTTCCTGAAGGACCTGGAAGAAGCTCAGAGGATTGTTCGGTCAAGCACAAATGCAATTTGAAGTCAATGGTTCGATCCAGCACAAATGCAGTTTGAAGTTTGCATCCAACATGTCTAATGCCATTGATAAACCTTGTAGCTCTATCATGTAATTTTGTTTCATTGTTTGTACTGTATGCCTGCTAGAGAAAACGTTTTTTGGATACAGAGAAAATGTCCACTTGGATTGAAGATGCCTTCAAATCACCCCCTCTTCATCACAAAATAATCAGTAGGTTTTGAAGAATTTGTATTCAAATCTCGAAAAGTAGACGTAAAGTTTTCACCCTATAATGGGAACCCGTAACCATATATACTTTTCTCATTTATATGTTATCCTTTAATCAACGAATTCTTATCTGTAAAGCTGCCACATTTACCTTAAAGTTGTTTGTTGAACATAGAAGACTGCACGGGCAGAGCCGACTAGTGGAACTTAATAGTAAAATATTTATATATTTATTGAATGGGAATTCTTTCTAGGTTTACCTGACAAATATTGAATATCTTGATTCGATTGGAGGTTCACATTAGTAGGCAAACTATTCACTGAGAAGCGTGTTAGAAAATTTTTGTTTTTTTAATTTAGAATTTATAGTAGGAAGATGTCTACCATGTTTACTTTTAATGGGAAATTGAAACACATTTAATACATGCTCAATTCTTATCCCAACTCCCAAACAAGGTTTGGTATTGCAATGAGAGCAACACATTTGATATGGTGGAAAAATTAAGATGCATTTGAACTCACATAAATCTGAAAAATGCATTGATAACTCTAATTTTAATGCTCAAATTCATACGGGTACAATATATAAAGCAAAGTAGGTCATGCCAGCATGCCTTTCCTTCTCCAAATCCCCTTTCCCACTTTTTTTTTGTTAACTCTCTCTCCTTTTCCCTTTACAACCCTCTCATAAAGTCAAGTCAGAACCCTGTCTCCCTATTCCTCTCTTTTTCCATTCCAATTACCTAAGGGGGTGTATTATCTTATTTTTGTGAATTTTGAGAAAGGGAAAGTTGGTCAATGGGATTTTGATTTCCATTGACCAAAAAACCTATGTTCTTTTTTCAAATCTATGTGGAGACAAAGGAAACTTTATTTTCCTAGGTGTCACTTAGTCGGGTAAGTGATATCCATCATGTAGGTGGTAAATAACTTTTCCACCTAGGGGAAAGTCGCTAACACTTGAATGGGACAAAAATGCTCTTTTTAATAATGAACTTTTACGGCTAAAATGGTCATTGCCTTATTTACTTGGAAAATAAAGGAGCATGGGTAAATGCACTTACCTGGGTAAGTCTCTCCTAGGAAACACTTACCCGGGTAAGTGCATTTACCTGGGTAAGTAACTTACCAAAAAGTGAATAGGGCCTAAAAGTATTCTTAAATCTATCTCCCATAATATCATCCCTCCTAAAACTACATTGACTATGGACAATCAAGTTGCTACTACCCCATCTATCTATACTATGTATATAAAACAAATAAGGAAAGTCATCTCATCATCCAATTTTCTTAAGGCTCTGTTTGGGAGCGATGCAAATCCCAATTCAGGGTAAATATGTATTCTGGTTCAGTTTTGTTGGTGTTTGGCAAGAATACAATTATACATTGACAAATGATAGAAAACACATTTTCTAATGAATATTTACATTCAAAATGAGATGTAAATGTACATTGATAAAAAAGAAGTAAAATTGCATTCAATGTGAGCTTTTGTTAAAAAGAGCATATATTTTATTGGGATTCATGTTTGCATCCATTACAGCTAGACCTGTTCACGGGCCAGACTTCGGGCCCAATTTTACACTGTTTTGGTATCGGGCTTTGTGTCAGGCCCATTAGAATTTTGACAAAAGCCAAGCCCGAGCCCAACCCATGAACATGCCTAATTACAGCTAAAAGGTCTATTTGGTAAGAAAGTAAATTTGTCAATGCAAAACTAACCCAACTATGCATTTACATGAACCGTTTTACACTGCATATTTGCATTCACACTTTATTTGCATCGTTCCGTTTGGGAAGAGTGCAAATACAAATATGCACAATGCAAATACATGAATTGGGATCTCCTGCCAACAAAATACATTCCAACCCCCAACCAACTTGATCTAACACCACACATCTCACCATGAAATTGGGACCCACTATAAAAGTAGGATCCGCCATGTATGAGATATGTGGTGTTAGATCATGTTGATAGGCTGTTGGAATGTATTTTATTGGCAAGTGATCTAGACTTGAAATACATACAAAATACAAGGTTTTGCACTATACATATTTGTATTTGTACTCTTCCCAAACCGAGCCTAAAGTTGTGTTTGATTGCAGTGAAAAAAATCCTCAATGTAAAAGTCAGTCAATCAGTTTAAAATTTGAATGGATCATTGGTCGATTTTTTATGTGAGAATCAATGTAAATGCACATTGATAAATTATGATGGAAGAGTCAGCCAATTAAATGATTTATATCAATTTTCAATTTAAACTTCATATTGGAAATGTCTGAAAAAGTGGACCGATGTGGAGTTTTACACCAGTCCGATTTTACACTAGAAATAAACGCATGTAAATACAAACTGACAGTGGAGTTTTACGTTGATTTGCATTTACACCAAAAACAAGCACAGCTTAAAGGTTTGTGAGACATGTTGTTCTTTTTCCTAAAATAGCACTCAAAAACTTTCTTGACTTCACGTTTCTTAGATTGAATAATGCTAAGAAATTTCTTCTTAATACGTTTCTAAGATCATAGTGTCGTTAGAGATAGGAAACAGTGACGATGCAGAGGCCAAGAGGCCATGACAGACAATAGAGTTATAAGAAAGGTCCCCGCGAACGTCTCATGGTAAGAGATACCTACAAATGCTGAGATGAATATACTACTGTTGATATTGGCTATTCCATGAACCAAAGTGATCCCTACAAACATGAACAGATACGACCTGTTCTATTTGGATGAAGAAGAATTAACTGGATTCTTGCAAAACCTGTCCAAGGTGGAGGTGAACAGATAGATATCGGTGTTGGCTGCTCCATTAGGATTTAGGAGTAGAGAGAGGGGTTTCTAGCTTTCTACTCTACTTTTAGCGTCCCTATCCCGAACAACAAGGGTTTGTCCATGTTTTGAGTAATCCATTGAACCAGTTAATTAGTAGTGTAGTCTGCCGGGCCATGTCTTGAGTTATTAGCAGAGGAGGTTGATCAAGTCAATGATGTAGTTAGTCTTGGTTGAATAAATTACAAAATGGATATCAAGTCAATGATGTAGTTATGTTGACATGGCTAGCATTATTATAATGATGCTAATAACTCTTATAATGTGATGGTATATTTTGATGATGCCTCGATAAATGGAAGTGTAGTGTTTATATGTGTTATTTCTAAGCTTTGAAAATGATTTTAGATGGAGGTAAAGAGATGTTTGCGCGTCTTTTTTGGTTAATTAACATATTTTAATGAGAAAAAACAACAAAAGGTACAAATGTACAATTGAAATGAGGGAGGGTAAAATCTCTAAGGGCCTGTTTGTTTCCTTTTAACTCTTATCTCTTAATAGGAATCTTTTAATTTTAAGAGAAAAATAGTTGTTCGTTTTCTCTTATCTCCTATCTCTTAAAGTGCAATCATACAATTTTTTGTTTTCCAATGATACCCCTAAAAAGACAAACAAAAACTCTGATATATGAGGCCAAAATGAATATTTGATAATTTTTAGAATTCTGAATTCTAAGTTCAGAACAACATTTTGTGCATTCAGAATTCAGAGGAAAGAAAAGTTCACCAATACCAATATACCTCTTAATGTAATTATTGCACTTTCAGATGTCAGATTTCAGACCAAACGAACAAGCACCAACTCTCCCCAAGATTCATATTCATGTTACAGTATTGCCCAAAAAAGACCGACTCTTCCCACCCCTTGTTTGGCAAGTGAGTCCGCAAAAGAATTTGCACTTCTCTTAATCAACTGCTTGAATTTCTTTTTGTCACTTAAGAATTTCCAAAATCCAATCTCTTTCTTATGCAGCCAGCTAATGACCAACATCAAATTTTCAACTATCAGTTTTTTGATATTTAAGCTCACTTTGGAAAGAGTACAAATACAACTATGTAGAGTGCAAATACATGCAAAATAATACAAAATACAAGGTTTTAATTTGCACTCTACATATCTGTATTTGTACTCCTTCCAAATTGAGACTTAGCTGTTATGCTCCCTTATCCCTTTCAAAACAGCCTAAGTTTTTGCTCTTACGGAATCCCTGATGTTCGGGTGGTGCCTAAAGCTAGCCGGGGTCACCACATGTCAGGTCTCAAACCACGTCAGTACAGCCCAACACAGCTACATCATGAAAAGATGCATCGAGGAGATAAAGTTCTATGCGGACAAAGGAAACATATCCCATCGAGGAAAGAGGAACCTCTCGGATACCTCAGCGGGCAACCTCATCCCGGTAACCCCATAGACCTAACCTGACTACAACACAAATGCTTATCTATATAAACGCATCCCCACCTCAAAGTAAAGGACTTTGGACTCTCAACTCACCTCAACACCAAGTGCATTCACCTCAATCTGGACTAGCCTGCTCTCCTAACTTGTCTCGACCGATCTTCCATCTTTTATTGGCTTGAGCGTTAAAGTGCCTACCTAGTGATTAACTCATTGGGCCTCTGACTCTTCTTGTGCTTGCAAATCACCACAGCGCACATCTTCATCCTTCCACCTTGGCCTCATCTAATTGGTAGGATTGTTTGACTGCATCCTCGGTTTAGTCTACATCAGATCGGACAGCATCACCCACTACTAATAGAACCAAAATACAAAGTAGTAATTTTTCTATCCTTAATCCCTGAATACTCCTCCTATACATGAAGGGCCTAGGTTTCCTTCACTACTACCCAAGGTTCAAAGTATCAATGTGTATCGTCCCATATCGGCCAAAACATATCGTATCTAGAGCTTCCCGATACGCCCCTACAAAGGGTGTATCGGGGTTTTGACCGGTTTAGGGGGTGGATGGACCTTAAACTGGCCCCTTTGAACAAGATTTGAAAAAAACTAAGAAAAAAAAACAATCGATATTACCTTTTACGCCTCTACTGACATATAGAGGGGGCCAAACTTGACTATGAACAACTTTAATAGGAGTTGAGAATGCCTCTTCTTTACAATTCTTAATAATATCTCTTGCTTAAAATCCCTCAAAGAGATCCGTAGTCTTGATCCAATGAACCACCCTAATAGTTATTGTTTCAACGATGACATCTTATTTTTCAAAGAAGATTCTTTGATTTCTTTCCTCCCAAATTGTCCAACAAATAGCCACTCTTATATGTCTCCACAAAATTTTATCTCTCCTCTTTGATCCTCTAGTAGAAATGGAATTAAACAAGTTC